CCTCACCCATTGTCTATCTGGAGGCCTCTGAAGATTTTTAATGTACTGCTTCTTATTGAAATATGTGATTCAAGAAGATAATGCAAAATGGCATATTGTGTGCTGCCAGCAAAGGGTCTACAACAGTAATGGCGAACTGTTTAGAGCTTTTAACGATCCAAACAGCCACTGTGGCTTAAGTGCCATAGGTTTGACACCACTGGTCTAGGAGAATAGTTGAGAAGCAGGTACAGGTTGGGAAAAAAGAGATGACAGCAAATATCAGACAGATACTTAGAGTGTTGAGTCACTAGTAAGTGATCTAAGAACTAAATAGTAGAATGGAAGTCTTCTGAGGTTTGGTTAGTCCCCATTTAGTACTGCTAAAAAGTTGACTAAAAATGGTGCATATGAAGAAAGTCAATCCATAGGCAAATTAAAGGAAATTTTTCCTGAATATCACAGAATCATGAACAATGGGCTTGCTAGACTGGTAACTAATGTAGAATGGCAGAGAGCTCGTAAATGGAGAAGAGAGTGCTCATAAGCTACATGCTCCTGATCACTCACTCACTCACTCCCTGAATGAGTCACCTTTCTGTTGCTGGGACAAAAATGCCTGACACTTGCCACTTAAAGGAGAACAGGTTTCTTTTGGCTCATGAGGTTCAGTCCATGGTTGGCTGGCTCTAAAGCAGGAGCATCATGGCAGAAGGGCATGGTGGAGGAAAGCTGCCCACCTCATGGCAGCTAGAAAGAAAAGGGAGAGGAAAGAGCCAGAGAGGAAGAGGCCAGGGACGAGACACTGCCCTCAAGGTCACTCTCCCCTAATCCATCCAGACACAGCCAGAAGTGTGCTTTTCTAATTTCCTAGATGTCTCTCAAGCCAATCAAGTTGACAATCAAGAATAACCATCTCTGGGAAAGGGTGAACTGTCTGAGAAACAACTATGTCATCATTCAGATAATCCAGAGAACAGTCTGACATTGCAAAAATATCTTGAGGTAAATGATCCTGGGCTGAAAAGTGAGAAAACCATACCTCAGACCTGTAGGAATCAGTAGCTCTGGGATGATCATATATCTATGAAGATTGGAACTCTAAGGTTGATTTGTCCATGGCATAATTCTTCATCTTCTTTGAAATAATGACTCTTTTTTTTTTTGCAGAAATACCCACTGGGAGCTGGCAACTTTACTACGTAACATTGCAAGTGACCAGCAAATCTAGAGTGGTGTTTGAAGGACTCCGAGGAGCTGGTGCATCATCGGGTGGTCTGTCTATTGATGACATCAATCTTTCAGAAACACAGTGCCCTCATCATATTTGGCATATAAGGAACTTCACACAGATCTTTGACACTCCAAATGCAAGTCTATATAGCCCTCCATTCTATTCTCCTAAAGGTTATGCTTTCCAGATTTACTTGAATCTACAATCTTTGCCTAATGTAGGGATATATTTCCACTTGATCTCTGGAGCCAATGATGATCAATTACAGTGGCCATGTCCTTGGCAACAAGCCACAATGACACTCTTGGATCAAAATCCTGACATTCGACAGCGTATGTCCAACCAGCGGAGTATAACTACAGACCCATTTATGACCACCGGTTTGTGACTCATTTTCTTTAATGCAAATACACGATCATTGTAGGAGGGACAGATTTGGGAGGGAGAGATTGCACAGTTGGTTACTTAGGACATTTTGAGTTTTGAATCTTAAGAATGGAAGATATTTAGGGAAAAGGTTTCAACAGCTGAGGAGAAAGTCTCCAAGTAGGTGACTGTTAGGAATGGCAGCAAGGACTCTGACAAGTAGAGACGCTAGTGGCTGTATTCCTGAGAATTAATGACCATCCCTGAATTTCCAGTGTTTTGCAAGGAGTGTTGAGCCCTGGCATACCTGGGCTCAAGTCCATGGCTGCTTCTCATCAGCTGTATGACCCTCAGGAAATAATCTCTTGGAATCTACTGTTCTCAGCTGCAAAACCAGGGCAGTAACAATAATCCTACAGATTTGTTATGAGAATTAATACAGAGCAACTATGGAAGGATTTTGGAAGGGCCCAGTATGGACAGTCCCTCAGATGCTCAGTTCTCCTAGCCCATATGTTCAGTAATCCTGCCACTGGGACTGTCAGACACAATTCTGCTCTTGGAATAGGAGTGGTTTTTGATCAGAAGGAAGATGTTGTGCAGGTATACTGGAGTGTTGGTAGGAAAAGTGTACCAATCGATTACAACTTCTTATTAAAGTGTTCTGGAAGATTTACTAGTGGTGGCATCATTCCATACCTTTCCAGTCTCAGAAAGGAGAAGGGCCCAACAGGCAATAAGAGCACTTCTAATTTTAATAATGCTTTGTCTCTGGCCACCCAATAAAGGAAAATATAAATTATGGCAAGCTGAGCACTATTGCCAAATGTGAATTTTATAAATGAAAAGATGGACCAAAGTAACATAGAAAAAAAGTGACTTAATCTGATAGAAAAAAACACTCAGAAAGAGAATTTTAGGGATTTAGACTTTTTTCACTCTTTTCAAAATTTCAGTCTCTCAACAACATGGAAAATGGCTCAGGGTAGGGCTGAGGATTTAGCTCAGTGGTACAGCACCTGCCTCACAAGCACAAGGTCCTGAGTTCAATCTCCAGTACAAAAAATAAAAAGGGCTCAGGGTCAGGTGGGTTGTTACTCTTTTCCAGAAGCAGTGTTTCTAAAATCTTCCACTCCTGAAGGACTTTGCTCAGTTTGAATAGTTCAGTTAATGAAATAAATTGCTTTATGTTAATATTAAAAACTCTCTTTTGCAATATATTGTTTTAACTCAGTTAAAAGGACTATCTGTAATTCAGAAGGCCACTAAGGCATGATTCTAACAGAAAGAAGTGTCTGTACTAATAAGTACAGATATGATATCCTCACCTAAGGAATTTTGGTACTGCTTCAGTCATAATGTAAATCTGGTCCTCCCTGCCGGGCAATCTCATTTCCTTTGGGACAGTATAAATGAAAAAGCTCCAGTGATTTAGTGATTTGCCAGGGAATGCATCACAGGTCAATAGCATCATTTAATTATTTTGAGCTCCATCCTAATTGTGTTTAACATTGCCTGCTCTTTCCTACCACCGAAAGCTATGATGATGCTAAACACAATCCATTAATATAAATTGCTTTTTCAGATAATGGAAACTATTTTTGGGACAACCCTTCCAAAGTGGGAAAATTGGCTTTTTTCCCTAATGGAACCCAGTTTAGCAGAGGTGGAGGTTATGGAACCAGTGTCTTTATAACTGAAAAGAGGATCAAAAGCAGAGACTTTATAAAAGGAAATGATGTTTACATCTTATTAACAGTGGAAGGTATGTAAATAAAAGTAGTTTTAAAAAAATTTTATTGGTACATTTTAGGTATACAATATAATGACATTCATCATTGGAGATTTGTACCTTTACATGATATATCTTGATTCTTATTTTTTCCCCCTTCCCCTGCCCTCCCTTCAACCCCTCCATCTCTCCTTATTTACAGACTTTGTTTCCATTTTTTCATTTTCTCATATCAATTCCATTCCCCTCTTTCCTTTCTCCTACCCTTCTCACTTCCCCTTCCACTTTACCTTTTCTTCCTATTTCACATTATCTATTATACCTTTTGATCCATATTTACACTTTCAGTTTCTCATACCAGAGAGACTTTCAGTATTTACACATGTGTGTCCTTTTATTTCACTTAAGAGTATGGTCTCAATGTGCATCCATTTAGCTATAAATGCCTCTAATTTCTCATTCTTTGGAGGACTCTTTTGGAGGACTGAGTAGTACTCCATTTTATTTAAAAAAACAACAACAACACACATTTTCTTTATTCAGTCTCCAGTTGATGGCAATAGGGCTGTTTCCATGTTTTAGCTATTGCAAACTGTGCTGCTATAAACATGGGTGCACATATATCACTGTGGTATGATTCTTTAATTCTTTGGGGAAGATACCCAGGAGGGGAATAGCGAGGTCAAATGGGACCTCTAGTGCTAGTTCTTTGAAGTATCTCCATACTGATTTCCACAGTGGTTGCACCATGCAGAAGGGTTCCTTTTTTCCCACAGCCCTGCCAGCATTTGTTATTGGTTGATTTCATGTTAGCAGCCATTCTTTCTGGGGTGAGGTGGAATCTCAGCATTGTTTTCATCTGCATCTGTTAAATAACCAGTAATGTTGAACATTTTTTCATGTGTTTATTTGCTATTTCTACTTCTTTGTCTGAGAAATGTTTGTTCATTTCAGATGCCCATTTTTGGATTGGATCTTTAAATTTGGGAGGTCTGATTTTTTTAAGTTCTTTATAGATTCTAGATAGTAGACCTTTCTCTGAGGAAAAGCTGGAAGAAATTTTTTCCCACATTATGGGTTGTCTCTTCACACTGTTGGTGGTTTCTTTTGCTGTGCAGAAGCTTTTTAATAAGAAGAGATCTCACTTGTTGATTGTTTCTGCTAGTTCACAGGCAACTGAGGTTTTGTTCAT